CACCGGCTCAAGGTTGACTCAGCCTTCCATCCTTCCGAGGTGGGTAAAATGAGGACCCGGATTGTTGGGGGCAATATGCTGACTCTGTAAACCTGTAGAGAGGGCTGAAAGCCCTATGAAGCAGTATATAAGTCTAACTGCTATTGCTATTGCTATTGCTAATCTGGGTCCTCATTTTACCAACCTCGGTAGGATGGAAGGCTGAGTCAATCTTGAGCTGGTGGGACTTGAACTGCCAAACTGATGGCAATCAGCAGTCAGCAGAAGTAGCCTGCAGTACTGCACTCTACCCACTGCACCACCACATCTCCTATGGACTCCTTCCTATGGATTACAGGAAGAAAAATATAGCACTGGTATGCTCATGCTTCTGACATTACTTCTTCTGGAAGCATTACTTCTATAAAAGAATATACACATTCTCTTCAAGAACACATGTAGGATTTTCAACGGTCCATAGCAGAAGTGCCAATTCTCTTTTTGCACGTTAATTGATAACAGCAAGCTCTTATCAACATATTCTCACAATATTTTTTGTTCCTTTGGTAACATACAAAATGGCACAGATCCTTCAACAATTCTAAATCATATTCATGAAGCTCCTTTCAACTGTCACTCCAGTCACATCTTCGTTGTTTTAAAAGAGTCAGCGTAATATCTCTAAATTTCCTTCTAATTTTTGAAGTCTTAAAATATGCTCTAACCTGATCAAAGGCGGGGTAAATATAGTCAGCAAACTGGATTTCGGCGATAGCTGTAGCACCAGTAACTGCAACTCCAATGCCAAATCCCACAATTCCTTGTTCACATAAAGGAGTGTTGAACACTCTGTCTTTACCTATAGGAGATTTTTATTAATAACTTTTAAATGAATGTATATAAACCAGGAAAAAATATTTTAATACATGGTATCTGATGGAATGAAAAGGGCTTACACTGTTTGTGTATTTTTAATTAGTCTTTAACTAAAAGGAGAACTAAAAAGTAGTGTTGAAAAGGGCCACTGTATCTCCAATCCTCTTCTCTATGGAGGAATCAGAATTAAAACACTAGAGACAGATTGGAAGTCCATTACTTCCCTGGAATAAATGGCATCACCCCGCAACTGCTCTTGTAGTCTCAAAGCTTTTTCTAGCATTCTGCTGAAATCTGTCCTGTTACTCAAAATCTATAGACCATGTAATACACACTGGATTCCATGTACTTCAGGCATTTTAAAAGTGTGGTCATATTTCCCTTCAATGTCCTCCCATGGTTAACTATTCCCAGTTCGTAACTTTTCTTCTAACTTTCTAAATTTTCCTTAATAATCTATGCAATAATAATATCAAAACTAATTTATTTTATGTAAAACTATGCCTGTGCAGCTAGATTCCTCAGTAGAACTCCATACTCTGCATGTATGAGCAATGTATTATTTTCCATATAAGTTATTGTTATATTCTTCTGAGAACACCTCACATAGTTTTCTGTCAACACCCATTATATGTAATGCTCTCTCCACCTAGATGAGGTGAACTCCCAATCTAGGTTTGTAATTGTTTTCATTAATAATTAGAACATTTATCATTTATTTATTTTATCAGATTTAGATTCCATTCAAAGTGCCTCTGGATGGCAAAATAATATCCATTTGCAAGACATTTTCCCTAATTCATTCCAGCCATTCCAGTAACTACTCTAGAGTTATATAAAAACATGGTTTTAATCGATGATCTCAATTTTTCATTATTGCTATTTATGTTTATTTATTGTACACCAGTGAGACCTTTATCAAAATGAAAAACATAGTTTTATGAAAATAATAATGTAACACGAGATATGATGAATTATTAAATTGTGAACTTACCAAATTTATCTCTCAAGCCAACGGTACATCTGAAAACTCCACCAAAGGATACATCTTCACCAAATATTACTGTGTATATTAGAAATCAAGGAAATAGTTGTTCAGAAAGGAAACTGGATTGTTAAAATTGAAAGTCACCTTCATCTAACTTTTTTTTCTATCTACTGTACTTGTTTTTCTTTATATAATATTAATTTGATGAATGATAAGAACCAAGAACTTTTATAAACAATCCTGGAAATGACAGGGATTAGGCAATTTACACAAACCATGAAAAAAATGACTTTCCATTAAAGCTGTCCTTTTTAAACTTACTTCATTTCCTAATTTCTAGCAACAAAGGCTATCTTCAATTTTTTTCCAACAAATAAAATTATATTCATGTAGCAGCATACAACACTGACCTACACTTCAAATTTCAAACAGAAATTTTACTTAGGAACAAATTCAAAGCTTAAATATAATTGTTTTACCATCCAAAAATGATACCATGGGGAATATACGCTGATAATCTTCAGAGTAACATAATTGTGTTTGCCTTGCATGGTATGGTAGTGAGTGAATTGTGTAGCAGTGAGTATTCTCAATTGAAGAGGCACTAAGTAAAAATTTCTCTTAAACAGTAAAGTATAAAAACTTACCTGCAGTTGGATCTCTAGATAAGGCATTATCCAAGGCACTTGTTATAGACTGGAAAAGGTTCATTTTTTGTGTCTGGCCTGTGAAGAGATTATTTGGTTAAACAAGGCCAACTACTGAACTTATTGCTAAATAGCACCATATAAATTGCTAAATAGCATCATATAAAACACCAAGATCCATTTGGAAAACTTTAAGACTTGTCAGATTCCAATAGGATTTCCATCTGTTTTCCAATGTAGGTATCACTAATGTATGTACTCAATGATTGTGTTTGTTCAACAATGAGTAACAATTTGAGGGAATAGGAGGGGAAATCCACAAAAATCATCCTCTTGGTTGGTTAGCCAGTAAATAAAAGTTCTCCCAGATTAAAAGCTTCTTTTAAAAAAAACAAACCTTTCCATTTGTTAAAAGATCTTGCCGGTTCACCTGCTGCTCATGTTTACATTTTATTATAATTATGATTTAACCCTTAATTTTTCTGAGATCATAGCTATCTCAAATTCTGTTGATCATAGAATTCTCCTGTCCAGGCTTGGTTAGCACAAGGAGACTGGTTAAAGTTGTGGTTTATACTTTAGTTAGGAGATGAACGGGAATTCCCTCAGAACTAAGCAGCTCTCTGCAACACACCACCTTAGCATGGAAGGATCAGTAATAGATTAAAGTCCCAGAACAGGAATTATGACATTTTAAAGGTGACCTCAATTAGTACATATCATATATAGGTCTGGCATAAGATGTTACTTTCACTCCTACCTAAAGCGGGCTTTTTAATATCACTCATGCTCTTTCCGTATTCAAAGGGACAACGAAGTGCAGATCTTTTGTCAAAATGATACATCAACATGCCATGACAGAATGATAGAAATTGAAGATAGAAGGGCACAAGAGTGTAGCTCTCTGTATTTACAAAGGCAATCAATGCAACACTCCACAGAAGGTGCCAGGCCTCAGTTATGAATGAGAAAGTGCATCTACAGGTAGTCCTCAATTTACAACAGTTCATATAGTGACCATTTGAAGTTATATCATCACTAAAAAAAAATGACTTGACTGTTTTTCACACTTATGACCACTGCAGCATCCCCATGGTTAAGTGAATTACATTCAGATGCTTGACAACCAGTTACATTTATGACGGTTGCCCTGTCACGTGATCCCCTTTTGTGACCTTCTGACAAGCAAAGACAACAAGGAAATCAGATTCACCTAACAACCATGTTACTCATTTAACAGCTGCAGTGATTCACGCAGTGGTTAAATGCAGCACTGCAGGCTACTTCAGCTGACTGCAGTTCGGCTGTTCAAATCTCACCGGCTCAAGGTTGACTCAGCCTTCCATCCTTCCGAGGTGGGTGAAATGAGGACCCAGACTGTGGGGGCGATA